AACCGGGGAGCCTGGCGCCCAGGAGAGAGGGAGGGCCCGTAAGGGATGTAACTGGGGAGAAGGAACGGTATATTAGGTTTTCATTCAGGTGAAGATTCTACAGAGCCCAGCCATGGGAGCAGGAGTCTTGGTTGGAGATAAATCCTTGGGAATTTGTTTCCAAATATCACAGCTGACATGGGAGGTGGAGGGGGGGGGACACCAAAGGGAAGAGCATGTGAGTGAGTCTGCTGTGAACCTGCTGTGAACCTGCTGTGAGTGCCGGGGAGAGACACACGGGGAAGGACGCAGCAGAGAAGCAGGAAGGCAGCAGCAAGCATTCCGAAAGGAAGGAGGGCGTCATGGCAATAGGACGTGTCACAGAAGCACATGCCGCAGAAGGGTGGGGGCAAATGGAAAGGGGCGTTAGAAGTCATTAATCAATCCTGGCAAGTTGTTCCATGACCAGCAAAAGGCAGAATCAGACCATAAGATACAGAAAGACAGATAAAAATTGGTTGGTAAAACCCATACATGTTCAAGTTGAGATTTTGTTAAAATGCTTTTTTAAGGAACATAGAAATACAATCTCAGATGGGAATCCCAGGATCACAGGCTGCCAACAATGAGCGAGGCCCTGACTCTGCCCCGCCCTCCGCCCTCCGCCCTCCGCCCTCCGCCCTCCGCCCTCCTCCCCCCTCCGCTTCACCATGTATGTGTCACTCATGTCAACTGAGCCAACATGTGTTTCTACCCTCCAGGTTGGTGCCCATCTCAGGGCCTTTGTACTTGCTCTTCCCTCTGCCTAGAATGCTGTTGTCCTAGAGCTTAAAGTGGTTGCTGTTTTCTGCTCATCTCGTTGGCAGCTCAGATAGTCACCTCTCGGATGAGCATTCTTGGACCACCCCATCTAATGCTGGTCTTTCCCCTGTACCAGCCCATGTGGTCCTGATTTTTTCCATCATTGTTGTTGTTTAGTCACTAAGTCATGTCTGACTCTTGCGACCCCATGGACTGCAGCCTGCCTGGCTCCTCTATCCATGGGATTTCCCAGGCAGGAATAGTGGAGTGGGTTGCCATTTTCTTCTCCAGGGGATCTTCCTGACTCAGAGATTGAACCCATGTCTTCTGCTTGGCAGGTGGATTCTTTACCACTGAGTCACCTGGAAAGCTCAGTTTTTTCTTTATAATGCTAATCAAAACTTTCCCCCCAATTAAAATTTTTATTTATAAGAGTCTGTGGACTCCAGAAAGTCACATGAGGTCAGGGTCCCTATCTATTCATTTATTAATGTGCCTCCAGTGATTACAATTCTCAGTTGATAAATATTTATTGAGTAATGAATGCAAGAGCCTTAAAGTCCCTTTAATTCAAATCCATGGATTAGAAATGAGAAGTGAGCTGCCAAGTTCACACAGGCGGTCACCTCAAGCCAATCCAGAGATAGTGAACTGCACACTTTACAGCAGAATGAACTGCTAGTGGCTGAAGAAGATGATGGACATGGGGATTCAGGAAAAAAAAAAAAAATTCTCCACAATATAACCTGAGGAAAATTTAGTGTGACTTATTAGACAGGCAGATCTTGTGAAAAACAGGAGCAAAAACTGCCTCAGTGACTTGATAGTACCTGAAGGATTGAAATTCAGAGACTCCTAAGACCTTACCCAGGATTTATTGGCATAATGTTCTTCTGGGGGGAAAAAGCCATCTAAGTGTGTCTCCTGATATTACATTTTATTTTAACATGTTCATGAGCAAAACAAAGAATATGAAACAAAAGACACCTTCAAGCATGTGTGGCTAGGCGATTTTAAACTATTGATTCAAAACTATAATTTTCTCTTAAAATGTGATTTCTGCTTCCAAATACAGAGTGTCTGGACTTCCTCATCTACTACTGGTAATTAGAAAGCTGGACAAAATACATGAAGTGAGGCCTGAGTCAGAATGCGTGGCCAGAGACACCTGGAAACCAACCCATCATCGTAAAACATGAGACTGCAAGTCACGTGGCAGAGTCCCCTTGGGTTTCCTTTCAGTTTCAGCTCAGTTCAGTCGTGCAGTCGTGTCCGACTCTTTGGGACCCCATGAACCGCAGCACACCAGGCCTCCCTGTCCATCACCAACTTACCCTGCTGCTATCCTCCTGAGTACCTCTTCCCAATCAAGTCTCTTGCTTTGTCAGCATGTGTGAGCCCACTCTAGGGCCCTGGCAAGGGTTCCCTTCCTCCAACGATAAGAGGAACAGTGTCTAGACTTCCTCACCTACCATTGGGAATTAGAAAGTTGAACAAAATACTTTAAACAACTGTTCTCACACCCTGAACAGCAGGCAGTGTTAGGGTTCCAGGTAGGTTCCTCGAGTGAAGCTGGACACACATGTCAACCTGATGACTCTGCAGCTCTCTGCCTTCAGGCAGTTTTCACGCTGCAACTACAGGTCGAGGGACCCATAAACATTCCGGCTAAAATCTGAATTGAGAACACTGGTGAGTTGGGAGGCCAGGAGGTCTATAATCTGTGTGGCAGGGCATTAAAAAGGAGGCAGCTTACTCAGAGAGAAAGTTTCACAGCTGCCTAATGATCCCTTTGAGTCTTTATCGAATATCAATCTGAGGACACACAGGTCATTCCATAATGAATAAAAACACAAAAACATAAAACATTGGTCTCACAAGCAAAACATATAACAATTCCTTCTACATTAATTTTTTCCCCAAAATATGGCAATTAAATGAAGGCTAGTGAGCAGTACACACATAAATGGATATGTTTCTAGAAAGCAATTTTTCAAAGATGTCAATAAACCTCTTGTCATTCCAATTATAGAATTCTACTAAAAAAGTGAAAAAAGTAGTGTGGAAATATGTCTTTGCATACAAAAGGCATTTGAATAGCTGTAGTATCTTTCTTAAAAATTTTTTTTAATTGGTGGGAAATTGTTTTACCATTTTCTGTTGCTTTCTATCAGTGCAAATTAGCCATAAGTATTTATATATATGTATATATTTGTATATCACTTGTTTCTTGAGCCACTCTCCCCTCCTTTAATAGTTTTAGGATGGAAAAGTTATAAGGAGCCCTATATTTAATGTCTAAACAGTAAGGAAATCGTTAACAAAGGCACACATGTTCCTGACTCAATATTATGCTTCCATTATCATGTTTATGAAGATTTAAAAATACAGATCAGTAAGTGCATTTAGTAGCTACTATTTGCATTTTGCAAGGGATCAGCCAGCACCTCTTACATTAGGCTGAGACTAGGGGTACGCATAGGAGTGGTAGCAAAACAGGAAGGCACATCCTGCTCAGAGCTTATGATGTAGGGAAGCTGGAGGCAGGTTGGACAGGAAGAGGGGCACCCATGGGATTGCTTAGATATTCCCAGAGATTTGTTTCTAATTGGAAAGGATACAGGAGAAAAGAGACTGACCCAGACCAGACCTTGAAGCCTATTGCTGCAGAGTTTGGGGGTCTGGACTTCCAGAATGGTTGCTGCAGGGCATGGGGCAGGCCTCGTGGGTTGTAGAGTTTCCTCCGCTTTTAAACAAGTATTTAGACATGTTAAAACTCTTCGGTCATTTTCAACTGAGCAGCTATTCTGTGGGTAAACTTTATAATTACAGACAACGGTAATAATTACAGTAACATAACAACGATAATAGTAATTTTCATTATTATAAATTTCAGTACTCCATTAAGTAAACCCACACATAGCCAATATTAAAAACCTCAAAGTTTTCTGGCTATCTGGTCGACATGTCGGTGGTGCCCACCTAGCTACGAACAGCATAAATTTCAGCGGGAAACTGTATTTCAGGGTGGAGAAGGTACAGCACCCCCGCTCATTTCCTCCTAGGCCACCGCAGGTTGCATTTCTCTCCACAAGCGTCCTCCCATCCATGCGTGTTCAGAGGCTCTTCCAGGAGTAAAGTTGGCGCCAGGCTCGCGTCTCCCCTCAACCCTCACCAGACAGCCCGCTGCCGTTTTCTGCGGCTGAAACATTTTTAGAGCTTCTGACCACTGCGCCCGTGGAGGACTGGAGGCGCGCACCGGTGGGCCTCCTCCTTGCTCGCCCACCGCGTTCCCTGTTGTCAGCCGCGTGAGGAACCCGTGTGTGGTCCACTTAACCCCCAGCCCATAAGTTGAACAGAAGGGACCACAGGCGGTTCCCACAAAGACCCAGCCTGGCCTGCGAACGATGGGGAGCAGCTACACCGGCCCTAGGCCCTGGTGCGGATCTGGGCTCCAAGGGGCGGGGAGACCCCAGAACAAGGAATGGGGTGACGCCCCAGCGTGGCCTTGTTCGGCGCGTACGCCCCAGCTTTATACAGGGGGAGGACGCCCGGGATTCAGGGAGGGCCGCCGGGAGTTTAGGGGCGTCCGCCAATGGAGATACGCGGGCACCCCCAGGCGAGACGAGAAAATTGGAAAATGTGGACACAGGACACCGCGCGGGGCACGATGACTTTTGGCACCGAGGCATAGCCCAGGCTGCCACCGCGGGCAGAGGAAATGTCCGAACCGCTCTCCAGCTCCTAGACACATGGACCGTTCTCGCCGCCTAAGCCTGCTCCTTCACATCCCCCAGGAGCAGGACGCGTACTAGCCCGGAGACGGGGTCCCGGCGCACCCGCTAACGAGACCACGAGCACGGACTTGGCCGCGCTGGTCAAGCTCTTGAGCTTGGAGCCGGAGGACCGCGGAGCGGAGACGAACGCCCCTAACGGTGGCCCAGGAGCCTGGCTGGCTAGCCAGAAGCGCTCCGGCGCGGAAGACTGTCTCCCTGCCCGCTCCGTGGCCCTCCGATGGAGGGACTCAGGGAGCTGCTGGTCGACCCGAGTGATCGGCAACACCCCACCCCTTAGGCCGCAGAGCCAGGCACCTCATAGGTAACTCCAGATCAAATCTTCAGCAGGAGCAAGCGTGCCCTGATCTCCGCAGTAGCGGGGTTATCACTGCCAGTGCTGGCGGCTTCTGAAGCTCTGTGCCGCATTCGCCGGCTGAATCGCAGCCCTTATGAAGGCCGCCGAAGGAAAGGAACACGGAAAGCGGCCGCCGGGGGCGCCCGACAACCGGTTCGAGCGTCCGCGGGACGAGTTGCCGTCGCCGGCAGGCCGCAGCGGCACAGGCCGCCCGAACGCCCGAGCTCGCCCGGGGCCTCTGCCTCGGAGGGGGCTCCCCGCTCGGGACAGCGCGACACGGAGCGCCCCAGGCGGCAGACAAGGGCGGACGGAGAGCGGGAGGCCGCGGCAGAGAGGCCCTCCCCGCGAGATTGCAGGGCCCAGGCCAACCTGGGCAAGGGAGATTCTGCCGTAGCTGGGCTGTGTGAACTGTAAGCTCAGTGAAAGTAAAACAGAAAAAAAGAAACCACGAAAGACATTTTATTCTCTAACTTCTAAATATAAAAAGACAAGGCTCAGAACCCAGAAAGGAAACGACTGAAAATTTGACTACCTAATTGGTCTCTTAGTCTTTACCAAGCAAAGTCAGATAACAAGAAATGGGTGTGCAGAAACATTAATGCGACTACATGTATATTAAGAATGTTGATATCAGCATTAGTTAATAACAGAATATTTAGAAAACATGGCAAGAGACCAGTTAAGTAAATTTTCAGTGCATTCACATAACACAAGACTTATCAACTTGCTTTGGAGTTTATTGCTGTTCTTTAAATAAGTTAGATCTATAGGTATTGACTTGGAAAGACGTCAATGGCAAACTCTTAAATGAAAACAAAGTTTTAGCACTTCCAGTGGTATATATATGCATTTACCTTTTAAAAAATGAAGTGGAAAAGTAAAGAGTTAGAATAGCTAAAGCGGTTTTAAAACGCAAGAATCAAGTCTTTCCTATACCCTGGTGTCTGGACAGAAAGATGTGCCAGAAACAAAGATGGACCACACTATGTGCTTTTCTGCTCCCTCCTACTAGAGTTTTGGGACAGGCAGCTGGCATCTCAGCCCCTCCACCCCTCTGCTCCACTAACACCCAGAGCCCCTGCAGGCAATCAGAACTCTGACTCTGCAGGCCTAGTATCCCTATGTCCACAGTCTCTTCCTTCACATCAGGAGCCTCTAGCAATTCACTTGGTGTGCCCAATCATCCATGCCCAGAGCTGCTGGCTCTAACATACACCTGTGCAGTCATTCTCTCCATAAGCTTTGAGCTGATATCCCAAGGGAAGACCATTCCCCTCACAAAGCAGGGATGAACAATGGGAACAACTGGAAATTTGCACCTGGACCCATTATACAAACTCTGTGTGCACACTCAACTCCCAAAGACACTACCCTTTTCACTGTGTTCTTTGCATGACATGGCCATTGCTTACTTGAAGCATCCAGACTCACTTATGTGGCAGGAAGAAATACAGAGTACACAGACTCACACGCATGCACGTGTGCATGCGTGCACACGCGCGCGTGCACACACACACACACACACACACACACACACATACGTACAAACATACCCCAGGAACTAATCTGTACTTCTGCTAGGGCTGGCAATGGTGGGAGCAGAAAAGAGATCATTGTTTCTATTTCTGGGGTCTTCTGAGTTGACAGACCCTGGTTGTTTTACTGATTTCACCGTGGGGGAGTGAGGACTTGGAACTCCCTAATCTGTATTTTGCTGTCCAGCACCCTGAGCTCTATTTGGTCCACTCTACCCTTTCTCCTCAATACACAGTCACCATTAAGAAGTAAGAATCTGCACATGTTGCATTGAATTTTCAAATTTGAACAAAGTTTAAGAACACAGAGAGAAATTGAGTTATTGTGAACAAGGTAGTGAGAAAATTTTGTTTATCTTTTTTGTAGCTTCCAAAATGTTCAAGTATAGTCTATAAAAGCTTAATATTTTTTTTAAATTAGGAAAATTAAATAACCCCTCATTACTCCTTCTTGCCCATGACCACCTCTGCCCCAGCTTCTGTCACACTGGGCTCACCTGATGACATGCCCATTCTCTTGGTTTGGAGACTTCTTTCATACTCATCACTATCCTCTATGCTCACTACATACCTGAGGCCATAGTAGCCTTTCACACGGTAAATCAGGGGATTTTTCTCCAGTGAGCCTGAGGGATGAATTTTTTTTTCTTTTAATAGAAACTTCTCCCATCTGTCCTCTAAAGTCACAATCTTTACTGATGCTGTAACAAGTGGGTTTGAATGATAGAAAGAGGATGTTTCCATATCAGTCCCTGAGCTGCCATATGCCTAACAGAGTGGTGGATGTTACTGGCATTAATATTGCCTGGGTGGTGTTAGAAGATCCAGGCTGAAAGGAGAAGCTGGACAATTTGGCAAGACACAAATCAAGCCAGGAATGAGAGCAAGTCCCTCTCATTGTTTCAATGTCAAGACTCAGCCACCACTGTCCTCCTCTGCATCCTCATGCAGGATGGTTGAAACTGACCAGCTAAAGCTGAGGAGATGGAAAACAGTCATGAGAGCCAAGCCTCCAGAGGCCTGCTAGATACCCCAGGCATGAGTCCCCAACCACTCACCTGGGGGTGGGGGGCTCCTACCAAACCACAGGCATGCAGAAATATGGTGAACCCTCCTCTCTCTGGGGTCAAAGCACTATGGGCTACACCCCACATAAACAGGGTAGTAATGTTTCCATTTTACACAGAAAAAAATGAAAGTCATGAGCTGTTATATTCTGATTAGACCTATTTGTTTACAGTTATTTAATTAATATTCAATTTCTAGGATTTACATTAAATCCCAGGAAACCCTCAGAATGATCACTTGGGGAATCTTGACTCCACAGAACAAACACCACTCTCAAACATTTCCATAACTAATTCTTGATCAAATGCATCAAACTTTGTTCTCCAATACCCATCGAAGTGGTTTAGAGTCCCCCGTCCTTCCTGCTGTGCCCTCCTCTGACCTTCTGGATGCAACTGCCTTCAGTCATCTTGACTCCCCCCAATGTGGGAATCAGGCAACTTTGGAGCCTTAACCTTAGTTCCATCATCCATGGCCTCAGATATGTGGCCAAGCCACTCTGAATCTTTTCACTGGCAGGTGAAACAATCTAAGGAGTCATGTCTTGGTGGAAGATCAAGCACTCTGGTTGCACAGAAAAGCTCGTAAACCCCCTTGCACAGCAAAGAAGCAGAAGTATGTACATCCTAAGTCACCCACAGAGCAGACATGCTCATCAAATACAGAAGAGGTTTAATTTGGGGTGAAATTTAGTTGACACCTTCAGAGACATTGGTGAAATACTACATAGATTTCTGCCTTACTAAATATTATTGGCAGAAACAGCCTTCATTTCATAAATTTTGTATAGGAAAGTATTTGTCTTTAAGGAAAACAAAATTAAACTAATCACATTCTTCTGAACAAATTTATGTGCCCACTCAAAGCATACTCTGACATTTACTTGATGCTCTCCATCTTCTAAAAAGATAAGAAATATAATCACATGTTTCATTTCACCCTGCTCATCTCCAGGTTTCCCATTTTCCTAGAAGGGTGTGCTTCCTCTGAATACAATTCCCATCTACTCTCTTGTCTTCATAAGATAGCTCAGGCCTGAACCATAAGTTCAGCCCTTGAAATAAACACCTCAGATGATCTAATGGCCACAGGAGAATGAGAAGCTGTCACTAACGTGGTGAGAACTTGGATTCCCTCTGCAACTAATCTTCTGCCAAGTCTCCCCCTGTCTGAGCGTTATCATCCTAAATGATATCTGTGGACAGCAGCTGACGTGAAAGAGAAGAGGGTGTCCAGAGGCCCAGCACCGCCCCATCCTCTCCCCCAGCAGCTCTAATTCTGGGCCTGGCTTCTTTTTTTGTTTGTTTTACCATGAGTATTCTTTCCAGCCATCCTAGGACTTCCTTTAGAGTAGTTCTTGAAAGATTCCCCAACCACCATTGGCCTCATTTGCCACTTCTATACTTCCCTTCTGAAACTAAATTCAGTTCTTTCAGAAAGATTGAGTCCAGGGACTTCCCTGGTGGTGCAGTGGTTAAGAATCCACTGGCCAATGCAGGGGACACAGGTTTGATCTCTGATCTGGGAAGATCCCACACGCCACAGAGCAACGAAGCCTGTGCACCCCGACTGCCGGGGTCCAGCCTCAGCAGGATCCAGGGGGTACCCTCAGGATGAATGGCGTCGGTGAGAGAAGACACGAGAGACCAGCCTTGATAGGGTCAAGTCTGCGAGGGAGAGAGAGAGAGAGAGAGAGAGAGAGAGAGAGAGTGACCAGATGGGGGGGTGCAGCTGAGTCTGGCAGCGTCTGGCAATGCTTTATCTTTTTTACCGTGGCTTTTATACCCTAAGTTAGTACATCTCTAAGGGGAAGATAGTTTAACATTACATCACTTGTTCTTCACAAAACCAGGGTGTTTCCTGCATACTTCTTTGTTTATGAGGGTCTTGTACATGATCTTCTGGCCTTGGGGCCCATTAACATTTTATGCAGGTCAGGTGAATGTAAACCTATTTCCGTTTCTGTGGTGACCTTAACTGAAAGGTAGCAGTCTCAAAGGGCAACAGTACAGAATAGAAGTCTAACCTTGTTAAGATAAAAATTAATCCTTCTGCAGAAGTTGTCAGTTGAGTTTATCTAAGAAGTTTACCCCACACTGACTCTGCGACTTTGGTGAGGCAGCCTCTGCCTAGCACTCCTGGGTGACAATTAACAACCATCTCATTGTTACCACACTAGGGCTAAGCTCTTAGTTTTCTACATCTATAACTATATTAACAGTGGTTTCTATAACACAACCTTAGCACATTAAGAGCAAAAACACAGCAAGCAAATGTTAACCCAATAGCTACTTTTAGAATAATTTTTCTTGTGTTTTCTAATAGGGCTTCCTCACCCCCCCAAAGGGCTCTATGTCTATTAGGGCCTTTATATGATCAGGTTCTTTATGTTATTTTATGATTAGGGTATTATAAGCAATCATGCATATTAGTACCAAGGGCATAAACGCATTTGCCAAACAAACTAAAATGCCAGCAAAGGAGTTTAAATTAAAACACTCCTTTCACCCTGGATAATCTCATAAAATACCGCCACCCTGGAAACTTATTGATTAAAGTTTTAAATTGATTCTTATTTGGGAAGAGATTGGGGAAGGCCTTCTGCCTGTGTCACAGAAATTAGGGAGTAGTCTATTGAAGCAAGCATCAGAAAGACAGATATCATCTTTAAGGTGAGCGCCGGGGGCAGCTTTTCAGAATCCTTGTCGTGGGTGGGATCTCGTGTGCCGGCTGCCGGCACCCGACTACTGAAGTGTGCACAGCCTGGAGCAGGTGCTCCGCAACGAGAGAAGCCACCACAGAGAGAAGCCA